ATTTGTATGATTAAAAAAAATTGCATATTGGGAGAAAATATATGAAAAAAAAAAAATGGAAAGCAAACGGAATAAAAGAAGGGCATTTATGGTAATTTGGCCCTTTGCAATTTTTTTTGTGGACAAGGGAAATAGATTTGGAGATAAAAGCCATGCAGATTTTATTGCCTTTTGTGGTGCGTATACTATTCCCCAAACACAATTGATTTCATCCTCTCATTTTCTCATGCCACGTTTAGACACATTGGTGGGAAAATTACACTATTGATTCTCACGTCTTTCCGATCTTCAAAAAGAAAATAGTTATCACTCAAGTTTTCATTATAGTTACACAATCAAGCTTTATTTAATCAAATCGTCTCGCTATTTGTTAAATCGTCATGGCCCACATAACACAAGTCGTCTAAATCTTTGTTAAATCGTCATAACCCACGTAAAGCAGATCTCACCACCATGTTTTTTTTAATATCTTGAAGTTGAGAAACAAAACCTACTTTTATAAAAGTATAGATATATGTAATGATCAAATGATAATTTAAGAGAGTTATGAACAATTTTCATTTTCTATCACACGAAAATTATCGATCAACATGCTCATTTTAAGTGGTTGAATTGCAATTTGCTACTAGGGATTTTCCCCATATTCAAGATTTGGTGTTATTAGAAGACTTTTTTTCAAGAATAGTAAACTTGTATGTATACCATACAAATGTGTGGACTCGGAAACAAACTTCCTTTCATCAAATTGGATTTATTCAATGAGATTCCAAGTATTTCTAAAAATTGTGGCCAATTTGAATTCCAATATTTAAACTGTTTTTCTAACAATACAATATATTTTTGTATAATATGAGTTCATATTAATTTTACAATATTATGCACCAAAAATATGGATACACAAATTTAGAGTAAAGAATAATTAGATTCTCCAATTTTTATAGTTATAAAAACTCCAACTCAAATGCTCGATCATAACAAACTATATACATATATGATGGTCGAGTAACGTCTGAAGTAGACCTAGTTAAGCAAAATTAGAAAGGTAAATATAATTTACATTTGCCAAGTAAAACGAAGATCGAAACTTAGGAATCCCCTTTAACAATCATGTTTGTGTGGCATTTTGCAATGCAAAATTTGTGTCTACACCAAAATGTTGCCTTTGCCCCTACATAGAAGATAGTCCCAATTCATGACTTCAAAGGTCATTATTGGTTGCATTTAAGTATATAAAGTGGTTTGATTAGCTTGAATATGAGTCAAATTTCGACAACAATATAGCATTTTATATTATTTTTCACATCTATTGGTTTATCAAGTTGACTTTTTAACTTTTTATTAAGACAATTTTAGGTGTTCTTTGAACTTAAACATGGTAAAAATTATTACAACCTTTTATAATGGTATTCACATATATTATAAACCAAATGAGTTCAAGTTTAACTCGTTAAGTTAGCAAATTACAAATATATCGATGAGACGAAGACGGTTGAAAGCACTAAAAATAAAAGAATTTTTATTTTATAGCGTCCATTGCATCGATAGCTACGAGCAGTGATTATTGAAAATAATGTGTTCAATTTCAAGAACTTTACACATCATTGATTTTTAACATACAGATGGTTGGTAATGTATAATAATATGTTCATTCCAAGTGAAAAAAAGTTAAATGCTTGAGACGATATAAGTTATTAAAGGGTAATAGCTCAAATCATAGGGATATGGATAATGAAAAGAAACGTGAATTAGATGGTTACGACATCTTTAGAAATAAAATAGGCTGTGTAACTCTTTATACAAGTGTCCTTGCTATTTTTTAAAACATTTCTAGTTGTTTTTGTATACGATGAAGGAAAAGTTAGAGCTAGTATTCCTAATTAAAAGTAAGACAAAAATGATTTAATTGATTACAATATAATATATTAGCAGTGAATGTTCCTAGTGGAAATTTTAGTGTAAATGTGAAAAAAAAGGCACATGATTGACAGTTGACACATAATAGAACAAGTCTTAAAATTAATTATAAATTCTAATTATTCCAGATGCTATTCTTCACTTCGATTAGATAATTCTCCAATAATATAAATTATTGGATTAGATTTACTCCTAATCATGTTTACTTCTGAAAGCTCGAGAATAACTAATCAAGAGGGGATGAATTAGTTTTTAAAAACCTTTTTCAAAAAATAGTGGAGGTTCGATCCAAATCAATAATTTACGCCTTCCATTACCAATCTCTTCGGCACGAGCAAAACCGTTTTCACTAGATTGATCAATTTATAGTGCAATCTAATCATTTACTAAACTTTCGGTGACTTACAAATAAGGAGCACCAATTCTTATAAACTATTAAACTTTACAGGATCTCAATATGACCCATAAATTTAAAGAGTAATATAAACAAATTAAGTACAAGAGAGAAATAGGCCAACACTTAAATAAATAACAATATCTGAGACTCAAGTGTCAGGTGAGAAAACTTTGATGAAAAAATGATTTTCAAAAGTGGATTCAATCAATCAAAAGTTTTCAAAGTAAATATTTGAAAAATTAAATAAGATGAAAGCTTAAAGAATTTTGCTCAAATATTCCTTATTTTAATGTTCTTGAAGAATGTTATAATGAACGCAAGAAGTGAGGGTATTTTTAGAGTTCAAAACGTCAAAAAATTTGTAAGTTCAGATGACTCATCAGTCGATCGCCTTTTCTTCAGATAACCAATATAACTGTTTGTTCGGTAAAAATCAGATGTTAGAATGATCAAATTTTGGACCATTGGAAACTTTCGATCGACTGTCTCTTCCGGCCGGTCAATCACCCGACAGTTTTGATCTTTTTACATTTTGGTCTTGTTTATTCCAATTCAAAGGTTTTGAAATGCATGAACTCTTGGAGAGTATTTTTAACTAACTTTTCAAAATAAAAGATATTTTTCAAATTCAAATATCATTTTTAAAAGTCATTTTTTATATTTGATCAAATAATTGCATTAGAATGACTTTCAATGCACAAAGTTGTTCTTAATGCATAGAATGATTTTAACCTTAAGCATTCATTACCGAAAATCAAAGTATTATTATCTTGCTCCGAAGTTCGGATATTAAGTTCTTGAATATGTGACTTCAATATTAATATCCTTTTTGAATCCGATTTGTGATGATAGCTTTTGTTCTTTCGACGATAATCGATAAGTTTTTCATAGTATGCTTTGAAAAACTATAATAACATAAATTCAACTTATTAATAAACAAGATTAACTTAATTATTATAATAAAAAATTTAAGGTTATAATCAAGCATACGTGAACAACTTTGTAATATTAAATACAATTTTATATGTCATCAATTATAAAATAATGTTAAAGTATCATGGTATCTATAAACTAAATTAAAATTTGAACCTAAAAGGAGAATATAATTATGGAGACGGAATATATATATATATATATATATTTTATTTATTTATTTATTATTATTTTTTTTTTTTGGTGATATCCAGATATCTACCTTACAGTGATTAAAACTTGGAGTCTACACATTGGCCCCTCAAGCTGCAGACAGGTTAAACCGCAGATTGTGTCCCAAACTGACCAGTGCTCAAGAGCTTCCCAACTGATCTGCCAAAGTGCCAAACAAGTCGTTTCCCATCTTTGTACAAACAAAATCGCTTATAAATACTTGTCGAACATTCTCTTAATGTATGTTTCTTATGTGTGTCTATACATGAGATTGTAATTTTGTGAATAATAAATTATTTTATGTGATCCAAAAATAATTGTTTTAAAACTTTGAGTTTAAAAACTTGATAATTTATCAAATTTGTGGTTCTTCCTAGCAAAATACTAGAAGATTCAAGGTCTCAAATCGTAAACAGGATGGGACACATTTAGCTAAGTGTAAAAAAATAAAAAAATAAATAAATTGGAAGTACACTTATATCTCGAAAGGTTCCATTTTTTTTAAAACTTTCAAAAAATAAAGTTCATTTTTTCAAAAAAAATTAAGTAATCTTACTTCCAAAATTAAGTAATTTACTTATCTTTAGTTTCGATCAATACAAAATTATTTATTTTAAAATATAAATAGTTACTAATGAGTAAATTTATAAAAAGTTTTTAAACTTAGCCAAACATGAACCATTTAGACATTTTGGTCCATGTATTTACTCTTTTCTGGTTTTGCAATGCTAGATGCAACCCAAAACCTAAAGGCTAAAGAAGGTAGGTCATGATCATGTTTTAATGGTTAAATTGAACTATAATCCATTTATAATTATTTAGACATGAATACATGGTAAAAATCACCTGAACAATTTAATCGAATACAACGACATATCCTAGTTGTAGGTTTTGAATATGTAAATTAGATAGTATTGTATAATATTAAAAAAGAAAAAAAAATTATTTACGATAAGAAATTAATTTGAAAAGCATGCCGCTCTTCGAAAATGCCCTTGCCTTATGTAAGCTTGTTTATGCATAGAAAGGGAAATACACCATAAGTGGTTGAAGGGATGTTACGGTCTAGAAAAATTTAGTTTCGGTGTATTTTTTTATTTTATTTTTTTCAATTAAATTACAAGTACAGTATTTAGAGGGATTTTCGTCGAAAAACCCTGTGATCGTCCGCCGTCCTTGTGGAACAAGGATTAAAATATTTCTATTTCTCACCCTACATATTTATTTGTTGTTAGCTTTTAACATACTAATTAACTTTGAAAAAACAAAAATGTCAAGATAGAACGGCAGAATTTTGCCATTCATAATTTTATTGTTATTTACCCCAATTTAATTTAGCTAAAAAGATTATTATAATTTAAGTCAAAGTCAACAAGTAATTATAACATTATATTTTGTGGAATTCTCAATTTTTCAATCATAAATTCTATTAATCTGCATCAAATCTACTAGAATTATCTTAATCAAACACAGGGACTTATAACACGGTATATAAAACTGTGATATGAGGCTGCCTACGTCAACTCGTACAAAACATGCATTCTGTGTTTGGGTCCTAACCCAGACCGCTTTCCCAAGAACGCAAGTCACTGCCAGTGGTGCAGAAAAGCCAATAACCGTGTGGCAGTTCCGTGTATTTACTCAATTCCTCATTTTTATAAGAGAAAATTATCACTCAAGTTCAGAGTCCATTTTTAGAGAAAAAGCGTCTGTAACTCTGTATATTCAAGAAAATCCAAGATTTTCTTTCACTGAAACCATATGGAAGATCGCAAGGAGGTAAAAACTTATCCCTGATTGTTATTGTAGTTTTCATTCTTGAAATATCTTTCCATGTGTTCTCTTGGTACCTTTGTAAATTGGATTAGATGAAAGAGAAGTTAAAATCTCGTCTTCCAGTCGAGTCCACTGCTACTTATAGAACATGGCGTTGAAGGTCTGTGCAGAATTTTCTGGGTTTGTAGTTTTCATTCTTGATTTTGGTAAATTGGATTAGAGGAAACAACATTAAAGAAGAAAAAAGTTCAAATCTTGTTTCATGGCCTTGATAATCTGTTCTGAATCATCTGGAATTTTTCATATGGTAACTTGTGAAGATACCAAGAAAATGAATGTTTTGTTGAGTTTCTGCTGGATCAATTATTCTTTATCTTATGACAATCTTTACAGAAATTAATCAAAATTAAGCTTTCTTGCTTTCTTTTTGTGCTCTATTGATTCAGTGTTCTTATTCTTGAATATAAATGCTGTCCCTGAAATGATCAGGCTTCAAACAAATTGAATTATAATTTTTTAACCTGATTATAATGGATTTTCACATATTAACTAGTCAAATTTTTGAATTCCTATGGTCAATAGTCCAACTATACCTGGATCCACCAAAAAAAAAAAAAAAAAAAAAAAAAAAAAAAAATTTTATGGATCCACCAAAAAAACAAAAAAAAAATAAAAAATTGTATTAATTGCTGTTGAAATTGTGAGAAGATTGTTTTGCTGTTCTTTATTTGAAAAAGGACTGTTTTCTTTGAAAAACATTCAGCTTGTGAGCTGTCAATTTTTTTATGTAAGCTACTTTGAAAATGCAATAGTCTTTTAAAGGATAACCATTGAAAATGAGTCCTTGAATATTTAGACCATAACTTATTTCTTTTCTTTCTTTTTCTTTTTTTTTTTCCTAACATCCGTTTTAAATTAGTTTTTGCTTGATATGATCCACCATTTAATATGTGAAATCGTTCAGGCAGCCAGAGGATAAAAACTGTTATGACATTATCATTTTCTGCCTTCTCTTTTCCTTTCTAGTTTTGGACGATATTGCAAAAGTAAAATGGAGAAGGAAGACCACTCCAAACTTATTGGAAATAAGACTTATTTGTTGTCATTAGTCTAATGTTGAATTGCCATATGCATATCCACGTTGTACTCGTACACTTTCGAAGTGTAAATTAATCCTAATTTTTTCTTGTATAGAGGAATGAACCATGGTTGTCTGTCCCACAATTTGGGGACTGGGACCAAAAGGGTCCGTTGCCCGACTACTCCATGGATTTTTCAAAAATCAGAGAAATGAGGAAGCAAAACAAGAGGGATCCATCAAGAGCTAGTCTCGGAAATGAGGAAGAGCTCATCTCTTCAACCACGAGAAATGCAAAAACTGCCCACAATGATGATCACCAGGACTATGATCAAAACCACCCTCCAGCGGTGAGTTCTTCAGTATCTCTAGTACACTTTCTTTTAACTATGTTTATGTTTACGGGATTAACTACGAGTCATTGGGATATACTACTGTATAGTCTGTATTGATATGTTACATTGTGCAAGTAGTTGATAGTTATTAGTTGGGACAGCTACTAAAAGTATATAGTGGGATACATGTGGTTAGGATTGTTTAGTTTTTATCAATGAGTGGATTCACAGGCTAGCAGGTAGGTGGCAAACGGAATTTATGATAGAACCTTGTAAAGTGAAAATATTCTGATTAGTTACCTTCCCAATTTAGTGAAATGCTGACTACTCTATTCTTGGCTCGACTTTGAATCGAGGAGAATAAATATGGCATCTTCTTCTCTGGTTTATTCTGTTGATTCGAAGAAAAACTATGGCAGTTTTCCCAAACTTTGTCATCTGTGGCCCGTGGAAGTACTAATTGATCTAAAATCTTAAATTCAGTCGAAAACTTAAGGTTGTGATCACGTGTCTTCCGAAGTGTGAATCGAATACAGTGCTTTAAGGCCAAAGTGCTATAGCAAATAAATGACACGTCTATCAGTCTAGACAAGGTTCATAAACGATTATCTTTATCTTGGTTGGGCCTGCAGATGATGTTATCATGTGGTAAATAATCATAGACTGGATGTAATGTAGTCCTTGGATAAGTAACTTAGCACGTGAAATGTGGAAAAACTTGAGTGAAATAGACTTTTCGGAATGACAGCAAATTTTGTCCTTGCAAAGTTGGAGAGAGTCTTTATTTTTCTGGACCCACATGCATATACAGGTGGTGCACATGCAATAATAATGTAAGTCAAAATTATAATATTAGAATTATGATGCAACTTACTTTTGTGTAGACAGTCTTTTTAGATCAGTGAATTCAAGTCTTTTTCCAATATTCAATTGATCGTATGGAAAAGCACCTGGTCGCAAAAATATTCTTCTTTCTCTGTTTGCCAGCTAAAGAATGGTAAGTGATCTGCTTAGGCATTCGGCAGAACTAAATGAAGAGAATAAAAAGAAATGGAATGGGCTCGTCTGAATTTCAGGATATGCCCATTCAACAAAGTAATCTCATAAAGAAGCAAACCCTTGCTGATTTGATAGCTTGAGAAAGATCGACCACGATTTTGATTTCTGACTACAATATCATGAGCTTATATGACATTCTTTTTTGATTTACATGTGACTTTGGCTATAAAAACTCTTTTAAATGAATAGTTGTCGAAGGTCTGTGAGATACATTCCCGCATTGGATGAAATTATCTGAAGGTTCATTTTTACCCGCAGCAAACGAGCTAATGCTGTCAACACTACACGGACTATTTCATTCCTTATTGTCTTCTCTATGGTTGGCAGTCATGTATTTTTAACAAGAAAAGCTCTCACTTCTTGATCAGCATACTGACCAGCATTCCTAGGATGATTTTTCGTGATTATTTTTGGAGCTCGTATTTGAATTTACAGCCTGATCGAGATAAGATTTTATCGTAAACTCTCTGCCATTGTGTGTCACAGGCAAGGAAGAGCATTCTGAGCTGCTTCAGCTGCTGTATGAAGGCCTGATTTTGGCGGAGTTACGACAACATTTCCCTGTTTCGATCATTTCCCAGAAATTAGGGATTATTTAGCCGTTGTCATGTCTCACATAAGTAATTATTCGAATTCGTCTTGCTTCAAATTCTTGTCTTCCTTGTTTATATGGACTTGTGTAATTTCTTGCACGCGTAGAAAGTTCAATGAAACTTTTTTTTGAGTGCACCATGATAAATCTGTAAAGAGCCAATATTTGGCCAGCCAACTAGCTGCAAACCAGATCAGAGAAGGCATTTATTGGGTTATATTATACTATTTCTTTATGATTACTCAAACTACCACCCGACACATACCACCATTTGTTATCAATATCCACCACCACCACCACCACCAGAGATCCAGCTTCATTGTACCACATCTGTAAGTTCTATGATACAGTCCAGTACCTGTGAAGCACGTATCAGAAGAGAATCTGAGAAGCTTAACATTATGATATTTGCTACATGCGAGTGATATTAATCAGCTATGCACAGATGGTGAAGAAGTCGTTTGTACTAGTTGCTCTTGAAAACTGGACAGAAGCCGTTCAAAGAATTTACAGATTGCAACAATTACCCCAAAATTTTCATATTCAAAGATTGAAATTCATATATTAGAGGAAAAATCGTGATTTAGAAATCTTTTATAAGTGCCGACCACCTTGAGTTTACAGCAATAATTACTAATTAGCCGTTCTACAATTCCTCGTACACTCTTAAAAAGACAAGAACACCTCATCCTGCCTTCAATTTAACTTTTGTTCAGACATGAACAAATATGTTCAATTTAATTTTTGTCCAATATAATTCATGTGCAACACCCCCCACATTCTCACCTTATATCCTATGACCCCAAGAATTTACTTCAAGAACTAACTGCTACAATCTCGTCAACTTTGCATAGAAGCATTCACATTCATGACCGCTACATTATGCATCAAATTTTCCTCCCTGCAGAACCAGACAAAGGTCCTTTTTGGCCGCCATTCCTCAAACTCAATTTCAACCGCATTTCAAGGGATGTATAACTTTTATCAACTTTTCGACAACATATTTTATCAACTTTTATCAAAATCTACTAAAAATCTAATTTTCACCAACTTTTGTCCGTTATTTCACTATCACGGTCGTCATTTTTGAATTCTTCTCTTACAGATACGATCACTTTATCTCTAACGGTCAAAAAATCAATTATCAAAATCCTACCAGACAAGCACATAGTAACACAGTTTCAATTTCAACCATATACATGATTATTTCAAATTTTACACCATAATAGCATTCAATACATAGAGCAATTCTTTCAACAGCAAAAATTGAAAAGAACCAGATAACATACTAAATATGCAGTCACTAGTTGGTTCAAAGCATCAGAACTCAACGGCCAAGCATTGCACAATTGAAGCCCCATTAGGAGCAACAAGAATCACATCAGACCACAAAATAGTCCCTCTCAAATCACCGTCTGCATCCTTCTTTACCTCGATCTCTGCACACATAATCTCCACCTCCTTTCCGCTCCCCTTCCCTTCCCACACCACGCCCAACTTCTCATCCAAATTCACCATTGTTGCACCACACAAAAACTTGGGCAAATCCTTTTCGACCCCCTTCAACTCCTTCCAAGCATCCTTCTCCACATCATACCCTCGAATCTTGCCCAAATAATCATAGCAATACAAGACATTACCCACCACAGTGGCTCGACCCCTCCACCCCAAGTCAAGCCTCTTTGGAACATTCCCCCACTGCCCGGACTCGGCATTGTACACTACCCCACCCCTATCTGCCATCGCGTAAATCCTATTCCCAATCACGGCGCTCGCGTGCATCCACTTGTCCCTCACCTCAATTGGGCTCGGCACCCGGACCCAAGACTCGATTTTTGGGTCAAAAACCTCAGCCCAGTTCATCGAACGGGCCCAATTATCAACTACGCACCCTCCCATAACATAGGTTTTTCCATTCCATGTCCCAGCGGCGGCGAATTCCCTGGCCACCCGCATCTTGGGGCCCATTTCCCACTTATTGAATCGACAATCATAAACCCACACATTATTCGACGGAATATCATGAATGGAGCCACCGATAATGTAGATTTTCGGGCCTAGGACGCAGAAGGAAGACCCAATTGGCTGGCGGCCCAAATCGGATGGGATAGAAGGGAGAAGGATAAGGTTTTTATCTTTGGGTTTCAGGGAATACCAGTGGAAGGATGAGTTTATGCGGAGATTGAGGTAAAGGGAAGTCTGGGTGGTGCCGAGAGCAGATCGGGTGTTGAAAAGTACGGGGGAGGATATAGTAGAGTGCCAGGATTTCGACACCAAGGAAAGATATGGGTGGTGAGAGCGGGGGACTTTGGCCAGGATATGGAGTGAGATGTCATCTGGGAGGTTAGGGATGAGCGGTTGCGGTGGTGACGGCGGAGTTTGAGAAGACACGGTGGTGCTGGTGGTTAGCTCTGTCATTGGGTGTGAGAGAGAGAGAGGAATAGTGTAATTAGATAATTGAGGTTTCTGGAAAATGCACTCACGTGAGTTTAAAATTAATGAATCATGTGACTTTAAAAAATATCGACTTGTGATTCCCACCTTTATTGTAAGCAGTGAATAAGAAAATTTGTGCGTGTAGCATGATCCTTATCAACAATTCTTCAATTGAACTAGGATTACTAGTTTGAAATTTGATTGGAGAAATAAATAAAATTGGGATATTAAGCCTCCGTTTGGCCCCCATTAAATGTCATTACATTACATTTCATTTTTCTCTCTCATATTTTTCAACCACACAATTTTTCATAAAATAATATTATACGTAAATCAAAAAATTTTCTTTCTTTTTCAACCACTCATTTTTCAAAAAAATACTATTCCGACCCTTTTCATTTCTAGAAAATGGGGGCCAAACGGGGCTAAAACAATCAAACAAATCTACACAAAGCATATGAGTCGCTAACTAGTCATCGTCGTTTTGTGAAGGACTTTGCTATATGTTATATGTTATTCTATCATTTTCCAATTTAGAATGCTGTAAACTTTTTCATCCAATTTTTTTCCTCTACATCAATTTATGTAATCTCTTATGTACAATTTTTATGTACAAGTAGCATAATCCTTTTGTGAATTGCAAGGATTAATGATAAGCATTTAAGAGAGCAGTTGAAGGAAAATCACAAGTTTTGGAAGTAAAATTCAACTTATCAAAAGTTTAAGAACTAAATCAAATATTTTCAAAACTTAAGAAGGACCAATTTTGAAATATTATTGAAGTTCGAGGTCCGATTTGAAAGCTATTGAAAGTTTCAAGATCAATATGGAAATTTTAAACAAAAAAAAGGACCAAATGGGACAAAAATCGTGAAGGAAGGACCAAATTGAAATAAGTTTAAAAGTTCACGATTTACTACGATTTGCAGACAAAAATTCTCCGTGCACAAGTCTTTCACGGATATTCAAGGGTTGTTTGAGCCCCATTTTTTTTTTTCAAAAAATGCATTTTGAAATATTGTTATAATGAAGAATGTATGGTTAAAAAATAAAGAAATGTTTTTGGTTTGTATGTAATATTATTTTATTGAAAATGTGTGGTTGAAATGATATTAAATCATTGTTGAAAAATATATTTTGAAGAAAAGTAGGGCTTAACGATTTATTCTTTTGAATAATAAATTGGGGGTGTTTGAGAGTGATTTTTCACCCTCAAAAAAATTATTTTTTAATCGTTATTTCACTATTACATTCATAAAGTTTGACTTCTTCTTTCACTGGTGGTCCTCACTTTTCTCCTAACAATCATAAAATCAATTCTCAAAATCGCTCCCTATCAGATAGATTACTTTATTTCTCATAGTTTTTAATATTTCAAATGAAAACATCCAGTACGTCAAAAATATTTTTTATGTTCTATCTTGATCATGCTTCATTTTTTATCATCGATACTTTGATGTCATAGGAGCATAGTCAACAATTTTTATTTTTATTTTATTTTCTTTAATTTTAAAGAGCATTTTGATCACAATAGGCTGATAGAGCCTTTTTTTTTTTTAATTTAAAAAGTAAAATTTTTATACTCTCCAGTCTTCAACAAACTCTTTATTTTTTGTTCTATATTTTATATTTTTTAAAAATTTTCTATTGTTTTCCTCTTATTTTTCATTTTATATGAATAATTTGATTAGTATAACATTAAAACTTGTAATTTTATAATATCTCATCATAAAAAAAGGAGTATAGATTTTTATTTTAAAAAGTTGAAATAAAAAGTCTATTAGAATCAGTATCGTGAAACTTGGTCCGATCATTGAGCCGAAAAGTTAAAGGTCAAGAAACAAACAATTCGATCGAGTTGAATCAAAGTTAATCGATATCAATAAAAAAAAGTAATAATATATATAACTAAAAATTTGACACAATAAATCTAAAAAAAAAATCCAAAAAAAAAAAATAGAATTTTCAATTTTTAAATCTAGCCTCTTCACTAGCCAATTATTGTATCTATTATGTTCCATCATTCATCTTTATTTCTCAGTTCTTGCCCATATCTAGCAAAAGCAGTTGTTAAAATTCGGCGCAAAGGACAGGAGTGAGGTAGTATTGGTCTTACTGGCAGACGCAGTATGAGTATTCGATTCCTGATATATGAAATTGAACTCTTTGTGAGCACCAGTGTACGGGCAAACTTTTGTTTTCTAACTTGTTGGGACATATCCAGCGATTTACTTCCCTATGCTTCAGGGACGAGGTGATGGGGGCCTTCAAAGTTGGGTTTCAACCTTTAAAATCTGGCGCAAAGGTGTATACCGCAAGAATGTGTATAATGGTTCCGATAAAGTGCCAACCAATTTTGTGAAATTGGAAAAATGAGAAAAATGATAAGCGAAAACGTTCTAAATCATTGTTAAACCTCAAATCCTACACTTTTTTCCTTTTTCTTTTTCCTTTTTTTTTTTTAAATTCATTTTAAAAAGGAGCTCATCAAACTTGGCATCTAGAGACCAATTTTTCGGCTCAGGTTAAATCGGCCAGTTGACCGTGTTTGTTATTCGGTTTTTGGCATGTAATTGGATCCCTTTTTATGTCCGATCAGTCATGTCTGATATTTAGGCCCCGTTTGATACCTATTTTTTTCAAAATACATTTTTCTTTCTTTTTGTTTCAACCACACATTTTTCATTAAAATAATATTACACATAAATAAAAAAAATTTCCTTACTTTTTAATCACACATTTTCCATCAATTTACTATTTCAAAATATATTTTTACATAAAAATGACTCTCAAACACCCCCTTATAATATTGATTGAAACTTTCAAGGTTTTGTCACATTACAATAAACGAAACATGCCATTGAGATGGAGTTTTAAAATTGCACGTGTCACTGCATACCTAGAGACGGGGATAAGTTGGCTCATATGTTGACATTTACTGTTACCCTAGACATGCGTTTAGTTCATTGGATATTTTTTCCTTAATTTATCTTGCACACAGTTCGATTTAAAATTATCAACTCATCTTAAAAATAAAAAAATCTTTCCAAAAATTTATCAAATTTTTGTCATTGGCAATTGTAAAAAATTGTCATTATTCCCTTGAAGTTACTTTATAATAGGCATTCAATGTGTTTCTGTATCTACTATGCAAAAAAAAAAAAAAAAAAAAGAAGACGAAAGTACTCTACAAAAGAGAACTATATGAAATTTTTTGATGACAGAGAATCAACAGTTGCTACCCTTCGAATATGTACTGGATAAACATTCGGACTGACGCAATAGCCTACAAACCACGTCAGTCAGGTAAATCGTATTAGACAAGTCTCGTGCGACAGCTTTGATCGAGAAAGTATTGGTAGGGGGAATCGAACTCGTATTCACAGTAATAATTTTATTGGTATAAAATTGAAACACATACATTCTCGATCCAATCTAAAAAAAAAAAAAAAAAAAAAAAAAAAGAAGACGAAAGTACTCTACAAAAGAGAACTATATGAAATTTTTTGATGACAGAGAATCAACAGTTGCTACCCTTCGAATATGTACTGGATAAACATTCGGACTGACGCAATAGCCTACAAACCACGTCAGTCAGGTAAATCGTATTAGACAAGTCTCGTGCGACAGCTTTGATCGAGAAAGTATTGGTAGGGGGAATCGAACTCGTATTCACAGTAATAATTTTATTGGTATAAAATTGAAACACATACATTCTCGATCCTCATTCTTTAAAAACTTATTTTTTTTCCTAAATTCATTTACAACCACACATTATTTCAATAAAATAATTTTACACTTAAGTTCAAAATATTTTCTTACTTTATAATCATAAATTCTCCAAAAAATCACTATTAGAAAATCTATTCTATAAAAAAAATGTGGCTCAAATAGGAAAACTATTATCAAAGATAAGTCATTAATTTTATATCGTCATTTTAATTTGATATTGGCCCCCTTGTGAGGGGGTTGAACACCGAGATATCAACTCTGGTATACAAAATAGCAAAACTCAAGATACAAGGACTATTGAAATTTTTCAATAGACTTAATGTAGATTATACTAATCTTTTGTCGTCACTTCGTTTAGTCTACTAGAAGATAGATCAGAAGAATAAAGTCCCAAAAAATCAATTTTCTTACACAATAACAAAATGGAAAAGAACATTTATTAGCAAATGAACATGAGTATAAACTTCACGGAATTAAATTACACTTATATCTAAATAATTCATAGAATTTTCAAATAAATATCCATGTGATGTCCACAGGCATCACCTTTCCCTTTCTCTTTTCAATAAAATAAAATGTATCAACGAGAAATTCTTTTCAAACAGAAAAAGGGACGTAATTTTCAAATAATCCAAGATTAAACAAGTGTAACAAACAATTAGGGTCCATTTGATTACAAATATAGAATTGAATTGAATTGAAAACGAATTTCAGGGAATTGAATTGCCTAGAAATTCTTTTTCTGAGAATTGTAAATTATTGTGTTTGATTGATATAAATTTTTCACGTGAAAAATGTTAAAATAAAAGTATTTTTTGGTGTTCATTTGACTTTATTTTATATGAAAATTGTTAATTAAATGAATAGAATTTACTAGTATTGGGGATGAAATTTGTTTCCATCGCCAAAAAAAAAAAAAAAATCATCTATCTTTTGGTGTTCGTTTGACTTTGTTTTACATGAAAATTGTCAATTAACGGGAAATATTTTTTTACAATAATTCTTAGAATTTGTTTCTATTGCCAAATTTTTTTTATAAAAAAACGTGAATTATGGGTTGGAAAACCAAGAAAATCACAATTTCCAAAACAAACAAGGAAATCAAATTCCATGGAAAAAATTTCCTATCATTTTCCATGAAATTCAAGGCCAATCAAACATGGCCTTATTGTGTAGAAATCAGTGCCAAGAATAATTAATTTTTTACTCTCAATTCATCAAATTACACCTTCAAATAATAAGAAAACTGAAACATATTACATAAATGACCAAAAAACAAAGGAAAAATTAAATAAAAGCCACTTGATGAGAAATTACATGAAT